GGCTATTCTGAAGGAGGCTGACAAATGCAGAGGATGGGATTAAGGACCCAAGGACAGCACAGCTTTTCCAGGCTGGATGGCTTAGCAGGTCAGTTGTGAGGCAGAGAGGGAAGACAGTGAAAGTGGTATGGGTGAGAGAGGGAAAGTGATGACCTTGAGAGGTGGATAGAAAGATCCCTCAGCTATTGAAAATTCAGCTCTAGGATCAAGACTGCGAATAGAGATTTGAGAGTTGTTTATCTGATTATTATCATCATCAAACAGTTAACACTTACTGAATTCCTACTCTGAACCAGTACTCTTTTGGAGTAATTGAATTCTCCCAGCAAGCCCCTTAGGATTAGTATCACTTGACAGACAAGAAATAGAGTCTGGCTGGAGAGATAGCACAACGAGTAAGGCGCTTGCCTTGCTCATGGCCAACTCAAGTTCAATTTCCAGCACCCCATATGGTCTGCAGAGCACTGCCAGGGGGTGACTGATCCCTGAGCACACAGCCAGGAATAAACCCTGAGTACGGCCAGGTGTGTACCCCCCCAAATACCCGAATAACAACAACAAAAACAAGAATAGAAAAGAGTCCAAGATACTAAGATATTGTCCAAGGCCAAACAGCAGCAAAAGGGCAGCTATGGGACGGATCAATTCTCCACGCCTTGTTAATCAGCCTCTCAGGGTGACTAAGGCAGTGGATGAGGCTTTCACAGACAACAGGGAGGAGAAACCAGCCTACAGAACATCTTGAGAGTTGCCACAAGCCTCTGCCTGAGACAGTCCTTCAAGTTAGGCTTTATTTCCCAGGGATCTGAGGCTTTCTAATGACATTCATATAGAAATCACGGAAGATGTTTGGTGTTTGGAAGGACACAGCAAATGATGAAGATGCGTGTGGAGGAGGGAAGATGGCAGGCCCGTGACTTATACTTAGTGTGCTCAGAGAGAGTGTGTCACGTGACCGAGGATTAAAGTGAGCTTGATGGAGACAGAAAGCCTGAGATAGACTGGGCCATGAGAACTGAGGACAGATTTCAAGGGGATAAAAATATCAAGCGCTGACAAAAATTAGGGAGGAGAGAGATGGAGAGTGGGCCATTGGATTTAGTGATTAGAGGTCATCAGTGACCTTCTTGGGTCCTTTTAGAAGAATGGTGGCAGCAGGAGGCCCACTGGGAGAGATCAGGGCACTCAGGCTTAGGTCAATCCTGGAGAACTTACTTGGGGGATGAACTAGAGGGTGGCAGACCGGTCCTTTGAGAGGCTCAGTGGAAAAGAGAGAGACCTGGGCTAGCACCCCAGGGCAGGTGACTCTAGCAGAGTTGTGTTTCAGTCTGGGAAGACCTGGGAGGGTCAGGAGACGGGTGAGGTTGGAGATGCAGGAGGAGGAGACTCAAGGATAAGTCTCCTTGTAGAGAAAGGAATTTAGAAAGGAGACCAGAGTTGTTGGGAGGTGGGGTGAGGAGGGCTCAGGGGCTCTGGGATTATGAGTGAATTGGGGGTGAGAATTATGGGAGAGATGAGAGGAGTCTGTGGGAGTCAGGAGATCGTGACTGATCATTTATTCAATAAGCATTCATTGAAGCCTGCTGCATGCAGGGCACTCTCCCAGCTCTGGGAGGAAGGCAGCCAGAAGGCACGCTGGGCCACTCTCCGAGCACGGACAGTTGCCGCAGGGCTTGGAGGAAATTCAGAATACAAACCTGAGCCTTCTTCTCGGTTTGGGTGAAGGCATCACCTGCTAGAGAGTCTCCTAAGGGTCCTGGTAGCCTCCACAGACATTGACACCAGACCCGGAGAATGGACCCCCTTCAGCCATTTGGAAAATGCTCTCAGCAATGGGAGTCCAAACTGTCCGCGGTTGCCAAAAGCATCTCCTTACCTACATGCCAAGAATGGTCCCAGGCCTGAGCGTTCCTTGACTGAAGGCCAGGTAGGGATGAGATGTGACTTCCTGTCTAGTATCAGTGTTGCAGGAGAGGTGTGAGGGGGTTCACCAGAAATTGGGAGAGAAGGAGACAGTGACATGTCCCTGCTCCCTTCTGCACTTCTCCTTGAAGGACTTGCATCCCTCCTCAGAAGGTCTTCAGTGCAGGCTGAACCTGGCAGCGTTCAGTCGGCATAAAGAACCAGCTGCAACGCTCTCTCCCTCCTGACATGATTTTTGCAGTAGCATAACAGAATGCTCCAGGGAGCGATAGCACAGCGGGTAAGGCGTTTGCCTTGCACGTGGCTGACCCGGGTTTGATTCCCAGCATCCCATATGGTCCCCCGAGCACCGCCAGGGGTCATTCCTGAGTTACTCCTAAGCCAGGAGTAACCCCTGTGCATCACCAGGTGTAACCCAAAAAGAAAAAAACAAAACAAAACAGGATGCTCCTTGGCAGAGAGTCCTTCAGAGACAGTTTCTCCAGCTAAAGATCCTAGTGGGTGGAAGAGGGCATGAAGCAGGTGGAAGCATTTGTCGTACTGAGGTATGGAACGGCCTTTCCATCTTACCCCTCCCCACTGGGAGTTCCGGGGACATGGGGGGGATGATGTTCGTACCTTGAGGTGTTCACCTCTGTCCCCCTTCTCTTAGTTTAGGAATCACACTATGTTTGTGGAGCGTATGGCTATGAGAGGACATAATCTCAGGGCCCAGTAACACTCTCTTTCTCTCTCTCTCTCTCTCTCTCTCTCTCTCTCTCTCTGCAAACCTCCTAAGAGAGTAGATGAAGCTCACAGTACTGCCATCTTGCCCATCCTCTTGACAGAAGCCTTGTCTATTTCATGCTAAACTCCAGGAAGGGGCGTGGCTAAATAATCTTGATCATTCAGAGCTCAAGGAGACTAAATTTCTTTTGAGAGGTTCTGCAAATGGGCATAAAAGACCAAAGCTGTTAGGTGGTGAGGGAAAACTGGTTCTATATTAGGAGTTTTTCTGGGTTCATATCTGCCCAGAGGAGGTAGCACCCCACTTCCTTCCTTCCTTCCAACCTCTTTCTCCTCCCTCCATCGTTCCCTCCCTCCCTCCCTCCCTCCCTCCCTCCCTCCTTCTCTCCCAGCAGCCTCACCAAGTCCTGTCCTGTTTTTTTTCAGCTCCTGCTGTAGAATATAGGGGTTACTCCAATTGTGGAGCACAATAGCCTGGTAGGAACCCCACCCCTGAGATACCCATCTTTGTGTTAAATTCACATTTATCAAGTACCTACCACGTGCATTTAACATGAAGTCCTTGGGAGTTACTGGTAGCACGAAGAGAATCAATCCAACCTACAATGCTGTTGGAACTGGGGAACTCCCCAGTGCAGTGAACTGAAAGCAAAGAGGGGAAACCCGTGAAGGGGAGTAGCAATGATGCTGTTCATTTGTCTCATTATCATTATTTTGTTTACTTACACACTGTGATTTATAATAGTGTGGATATTGATGTCTTAGGAGTACAGTGTTGCTCCACCACACCTTCCACCAGAGCTTTTCCCTCCCTCCGCCCCTGTGTCTCGTTCCCCTCTCATCCCTGCCTCCCCCACTTAGTCAATTCAATCCTGGAGGCAGAAGCTCAGAGTCTGTCATCACTGGCCATTGTTTCTCCTCTTCCCATGTTTTCTGTTCGCTGGGTTTGGGTTTGGGGGTCACACCCAGTGGTACTCAGGATTTAATCCTGGATCTGTGCTCAGGGATCATTTCTGGTGGGGCTTGAGGAATCATTTGGGGTGCCGCGAACTGAACCCAGGGCAGCCATATGCAAGGCGAACAGACGCCCTGCACACTGTGCGATCGCTCCAGTCTCCCATGTTTCTTTGTACCCCGCGTACATAAGAGAGAGGTCGCTTGGTGTTTGTCCTTCTCCCTTTGATTCACTTTGTTCGATTTGGACCCTTCAGTTCCATGTATGTTGTAGCAAACCTCTTTCTCCTCCCTCCTTCCCTCTTTCTCTCCCTCCCACCTCTCCCTCCCTCCCCTCCATCCCCTTCTTTCCTTCCTTCCCTTCCTTTCTTCTTTCTATCCTTCTTTCTGTCACACCTGGCTGTGCTCAGGGCATACTTCTGGCTCTCAACTCAGGAGTCACTCCTGGTGGGACTCAGAGGACCATATGGAGTTCCGGGGATCAAGTTGGGGTGGCCATGTACAAGGCAAGTAAGTGTCATGTCCACCAGATTATCTATCTGGCCCTGCGATTTAATTGTAATTTCATGTAGCAGAGTTGTATTCTGTTGGCAGCAATATTTTTTAAATATCTCATTTGACAAAATTTTCATTATTTTTTAATGTACACAAAAGTAGCAAGAATAGTACAATATATTCTTCATCCGGTTTCAACAATTTTTAATAATATTGAATTAATATTAACCTTTCACTCAGAGGATAAGGGAGGGCTTGAGCCACAGGGGTGGGGTGGGGTGGGGATTGTACTGGGGGCCTATTCCCGCCTCTGTGCTCAGGAGCCAAGCGTACTCCTGGGTGCCATATGTGCTATTGGGATTGAAGCCAGCTGCATGCCGGGGTAGTGTCTTCCCTCCAGTACTACCTCTCTAGTCCCTTAACGGTTCACCTTTTTTGATAAGATGCTTTAAACCAATGGAAGCTGTCGTGCATTCCATGAGTAAGTATTTCTTATGCATCACTGATAGGAACATTTACAACGCAACACTTACAGGGATAAGACCGATAGTAGAGTGGGTAGGGCATTTTCCTTGCGCGCGACCCACCGGGGTTAGATCCCCGGCACCCCCTATGGTCATGGCGCCCTGCCAGGAGTGAGCCCGTGAATACAGAGCCCAGAGTAAACCCTGAGCGCGGCTGGATGTGGTCCGGCAGCAGTAAGAATAGCCGTCACAGCAGCGCCCGCCTCCCATCAGCATCCTTCTCCTCAGTCGGTCTCCTACTCCTCTAGGAGTCCTGCCAAGCCCGGCACCCCTCGGGGCATCGCTGGTCCCCCAGCAGCTCCCCGCACGGGGGCTTCCAGAAGCCCCGGCGCCGCCCCGCCCCTGACGCCCCTCTTCCTTCTTGTGTCCTCGCTGCAGATTGAAATGCTAGAGCACAAGTACGGGGGCCACCTGGTGTCCCGGCGCGCCGCCTGCACCATCCAAACCGCCTTCCGCCAGTACCAGCTCAGCAAGAACTTCGAGAAGATCCGCAACTCGCTGCTGGAGAGCCGCCTGCCGCGGCGCATCTCCCTGCGCAGGGTGCGCGCGCCCACGGCCGAGAGCCTGGCGGCCGAGAAGGCGCTGGCCGAGGGCTACGGGCTCCTGGGGCTGCCGCTGGCGCGCGCGCCCGCGCTGCCGCCGCCCTTCGCGGGCACGCTCACCGAGCTCGAGGACTCCTTCACCGAGCAGGTGCAGTCCCTGGCCAAGTCCATCGACGACGCGCTCAGCACCTGGAGCCTCAAGACCATGTGCTCGCTGCAGGAGGCCGGCGCCTACCCGCTGCACCCAGCCCTGCACGCGCGCGCGGGGCCCCCGGGCCTGGACGCCGGCCTGCGCGAGCCCGAGGGGGTCCGCGCGGGGCCCGGGCCCGACGGGGCGGCCGAGGCCACCCGCCTGCCGCCGGGCCACAGCGGCACCCTCATGATGGCCTTCCGGGACGTCACGGTGCAGATCGCCAGCCAGAACATCTCCGTCTCCTCGGCCACGGCGCTGTCCGTGGCTAACTGCCTGGGCACGCAGCCGACGGCGCCCGTCGCCGCCGAACCGGCCACCGCGGGCAGCAGAGGCCAGCAGGGCGAGGCCTCGGGGCAGGAGGTCCAGGCGGTGGCCGCGGCCACAGCTGCGCCGGGGAGCGCGCCCCCCGAGGACACGCGCCCGGAGGCCAGCGCCGGCGAGGCCCTGGGCGCTGACCGGGCCGGGGCCGCTGCCGAGAAGGTGCTGGAGGAAGCTGAGGCCCTGGGGGCTGAGCAGGTGGAGGAGGAAGAGGAGGAGGAGGAGGAGCAGGAGGAGGAGGAGGTGGCGGCCGAGGCAGCCGCGGCCGGGGAGGCGGGGAAAGGGGCCGAGGCCGTGGAGCACTCGGAACAGCTCAGCAGCAGCAGCAGCGCGTGCACCCAATTGGCCAAGTCAGGCTCCGAAGTCTCGGCCGCGGCGTCCAAGGAGGCGCTGCAGGCCATGATCCTCAGCCTGCCCCGCTACCACTGCGAGAACCCTGCCAGCTGCAAATCGCCCACACTGTCCACAGACACGCTGCGGAAACGGCTCTACCGCATTGGCCTCAACCTCTTCAACATGTGAGTGGCCGCGGGGGCGGGGAGGAGCGGGGGCTCGAGCTCTGCCCGTCCTAGGGCTGGGTGGCTGCAGGAGCCCGGGAGCTGGGTGCCAGGTTCATGTGCTACAACGTCTACGATCCCGTCTGCTCCTGGAGCCAGGCGGACGCGCAAATACACGTGCCCGCAAGCAGGCATGCCCGCGCGCGCACACATGCACACACACTTTGGGATTGTTAGGTATTTCTTTGGAGAAGGAGTAGTTGCAAAACAACACACCCCACTCCCGTGCTTTCACCTTAAGTAGTGCTTAAGGTGGAAACAGCTAAGGACCCAGAAACGAGAACCCTGACAAGAAAACAAGTAATAGAACAGGTAGGAAGAAGACCGAGTGGAAGTCATTCTGGTGGGTTATGAAGTCCAGGAACCAGCATCGTCAGGAGACCAGACGCAATGAGCAGAACAGGAAAGGAGAAAAGTTAGAGCAGGTCTGGATTGGGGAGAGCTAAGCCTTCTTGGAGGAAAATGGTGAGAAAGCAAAGAGGGTGAACTAAAAGGAGGAGAGGGACAAGGAAAAGGGATGAAACAAGCGGAGGAGTAGAAAGAGGCTCAGGGAAAGGAAGCAGCAATGGAGGGCTTCAGTGGCTTGGAGCCCCCATGAGGACCTTAAGACAGAGCCAGTGACCGGTGTGGCAAACCAACCAGGCACATGGCAAGTCCAAGGTCCCAAGGCCCTGAGCTGCGCCCTCCACTCCCTTGGCTTTCAAAGCCCCGAACAAGTCAGGTCACCTATGGGTCGGTGCTTTCCTTCACCTGATTGTCACAGATTGATTTTTCAGTGCCAGGAACACAAAGATGGGTTAAGACACATCCCCTGCTCTTAAGAAACTCGCATTTTAGAAAGATGACCTTACAGAAAGCACCTGCAATTAGCCAGCAGTGTCAGCAGAGAACATTATCGTGCTATTCCACAGGAAAGAACTCCCACCAGTAAGGTGAGCTGCAGGCTGCTAGCTGACTAGGAAGCCCCAGCTGTAGCCGGACCAGCTCCGTCAGACTCTGTTCCCCGTGCTCCCTGCTGCGCCAGGCTTTGGTGCTCACTCATTCACAGCATCGTTTCTGCAGGAGGGCAAATGCTCCCGCACCTACTCAATCCCTCGGGACAGGGTTCTCGAACAATCTGTAGTGCAGGACCAGGTGTATGTGCGTGTGTGTGTGTGTGTGTGTTTAACCCAATATACTATGGACTGAGATTTTTGTAAAATACAGTAAAAATGAATTGCTAGAAAAACAATTACATGCTTGGTTGTCCCCCAAATGTCATAGTGCTATAAGAAGTGCTAAATGCTGCCCCTCTTTTGCTGTACTTACCTTCCCTGGAACTGATCCCAGCTCAGAGTGGATTCGTGGTCCCTTTGCAAGCCCTGGCACCTTCAGACACAGCACACACACCCCTGCTTGGACTCAAGCCTGAGAGGGAACAGTCTTGAGAGCAGGATGAGAAGCTGCTCTCATTTCTGGAGGCCGTTACCACCAGGGGAGAGGGCAGCACTGGGGCACTCTCACCCTTATTTCCTAAACCCACCCTCTCTCCCAGATTCCAAGGTGGCTACAGGTAAGGAAAAGGGGCCTTTCTTGGGAGTCTCAGAGTCAGATCCATCAGGAGGGAGGAAGGAAGAGAGGAGTGCCCCCGCCCATCCAGAACTCATCTTCCTGGCCCAAATACCTTCCTCTCTGCTTCTGACAGCCCCACTGTCTTCACCATGGGCTAGGAGAGTGAATCTGTGGTGAGAAGTGCTCCCCTCAGGAACCCCTCTGCAGGAGAAGGAATCTAATATTCCCTAGAAATTCTTTCCAGGACCTGCAGGCACTTTTATGGGAACCACCAGTCAGAACAAAGGAAAGACAGGAGTTATAGAGAGTCTTAGCTCACTCTACTCTTTCTCGCTGCTCCTGTTCCCCAGAAACCCGGACAAGGGCATCCAATTCCTGATCTCACGTGGTTTTATCCCTGACACCCCCATCGGAGTGGCCCACTTCCTGCTCCAGCGGAAGGGTCTCAGTCGGCAGATGATTGGAGAGTTCCTGGGCAACAGCAAGAAACAGTTCAACCGCGATGTGCTGGAGTGAGTGCCTGGACCTTGGGAACATCCCCTACCCCGTGCCCCTGCCCACCCTCCATCCCACACACTCATCTCCCCTCAGAATCTGGAGGGTAGGTAACCGCTGGGCAGTGAAGCTACTCCTTTGTCCCTAGCAAAGAGGGCTTGGCGGGCCCAGTCTGTTCCCCGTCCCACTGTTCGCCCATCTCCCTATTCTTTGCCCCTAAGTGCTCTTCCTTCTTGAAAGTCACTGCACTGTAGAGTACTGCACTGCCCCCCCACCCCGTTCTCTTTCTCCTTCATTCCATCTGTGAAGTATTTCTCCAGGGGTCTGGGGAAAACTGCTCCTTTGGTACTTGTCCCTGGAGGAGAGAGTCTCCTGCAAGAAAGCAAGAGGCTCCTACTAAAGGGTTTGGAAGTGTGGGAGTTGTCTATGTTCTGGGGTTGAGAATACAACTCCAAGGTTGCCAGTGGCCCTGCAGTGGGCACTCTAAGACCTGGCCTCTATCTGTGCCATGGTCTTTTTAAAAAAAATTTTTTTTAATGAATCACCATGAGGTACAGTTACAGACTTACAAACTTTCGTGCTTACATTTCAGTCATACAATGACCAAGTGCCCATCCCTCCACCAGTGCCCATTCTCCACCACCAGTGTTCCTAGTATCTCCTTTTGGGTGTTATGGTTTGCGATACAGATATTAAGTGGCCATCATGTTCGGTCTATAGTCAACTTTCAGCACACATCTCCCATTCCGAGCGAGCCCTCCAAGTGTCCTTTATTTGGTGATCCCTTCTCTATCTGAGCTGCCTTCCCCCACCCCCCCCCTCCAGCATGTGAGGGCGGCTTCCAAGCCTTGGAGCAATCCTCGTGGTCCTTATCTCTACTATCCTTGGTTGTTAGTCTCCCATTATGTTACTTTACAATCCACAAACAAGTGCAGTTATTCTGTCTGTCCCTCTCTTTCTGACTCATTTCACTTAGCATGATACTCTCCATGTCATCCACTTATATGCAAATTTCATGACTTCATCTTTTCTAACAGCTGCATAGTATTCTATTGTGTAGATGTACCAGAGTTTCTTTAACCAGTCATCTGTTCATGGGTATTCGGGGTTTTTTTTTCCAGATTCTGGCTTTTGTTAACAGTGCTGCAATAAACATACAAGTGCAGAGGTCATTTCTACTATACCTTTTTTGCATCTCCGTAATATATTCCCAGAAGTGGTATTGCTGGGTCAAATGGGAGCTCAATTTATTTTTTTGAGAAATGTCCATATTGTTTTCCAAAAGGGCTGAACCAGTCGGCATTCCCACCAGCAGTGAAGGAGAGTCCCCTTCTCACCACATCCACGCCAACACGGGTTTCTTTTGTTCTTTTGGATGTGTGCCAGTCTCTGTGGTGTGAGATGATATCTCATTGCTGTTTTGATCTGCGTCTCCCTAATGATTAGTGATGAAGAGCATTTTTTATGCCATTGCCTTGATGCAATGTGTCTGGACAAGTCATGGCTCTATGCTTGTAGATTGGGAAGGGCATGATGGATCAATGCAGGTAGACCAGTTGCCCTCTAGAATCTGTTATATTCATTAGTTCATGAAGGGGATTGTTGTGCAGAGATCAGATATTTAGTTGACCCAGAGGAGAGAGCTTGAAAGTCCCAGATGACCCTTAATTGGCAGAACCTAGTTCTTGCCCCTGTTGTGGTACCTTGGGCAAACTAGCCAGCTTTTCTGGACCAGAGCTCTGAGTGCCTGGCGAAGGAAAGCAAAGTGATTCCAGCTGCCCTACCTGTCACCTTCCTTTCCTCTCCTCTCATCCCCCTTTCTTCTTATCACCATCTCCAACTCCGTGGAATGCTCTTTGGGGATGCCAGGGAAATTAACAGAGAAAAATCCATTTTCTCCCATCTCCTTCCTTTCCCTATTTTCTTCCCTCCACCTGGTTCATGTGTGTGACCTTTTTTGCTAGTTCTCGTTCCCTTTCCATTCTGTATAAAGGTCAGTGTAACCTGTTTGCCTTGCATTCCCCCAACCCTAGGGCAACATTGCTTTTTCTCTCTGCTCTCTGGGAAGGGGCAACTGCTTCCCTGGCATCCTGGCAACCCTTACCTTCTGCCTTGCCCAGTCTCCACGTGGATGAACCTGATATTCTTCTCTCTCTCTCTCTCTCTCTCTCTCTCTCTCTCTCTCTCTCTCTCTCTCTATTTCTCACGAAGCAATATGGGTTTATTAACAAAACTTAGATGTCAGGGGGGAGATGGAACGGAAAATTTATTCAAGAGACAAAACAAGCTTGAAAGAGCAAGTAAGCCTGGACGTAGAGATGTGTGTTCAAGGGAGAACACAAACTCGAAGAGCAAGCCTGACCCTGGCATTCTGAGCTGCCAGACCCAGTCCGGGGAGCTGGGAACACACAGGTTTTGTCTCCTTTTCCCCTCCAGTCCAGGAGCTGCCTGCACAGCACAGTGAAAACTAATTACCATCCTTCCCTGGAGACAGAGTGTGTGGGCTGCAGCCTGTGCTGGGGAGGAGAGTTGGGCTGGAGAATGGACTGGCTGCTGAGGCTGAGCTCCGATGAAGGGATGAGGGATGAGGAGCGGGGTGGGAGAGGAGGAGGAATGCCTGGACCTAAGCAGGAGCCCAGCTCTACACCCTGCACCTGCTTCTTTGTACCATTTCTCTATGCCTCAGTTTCCACATCCCCAAAATGAGAGGCTGTGTGAGCTCATGGGTTCTGCCAAGCCTTGGAAGTCAGTTAGGGTTCCGGTTCCTTAATACTATCACCATACACTGCCACGAGGTGTATCTGGTTGCCCCAAGCAAGAAGGTCACTGTCATCTGTCCAGAGCTTCCCAGAGCAGCAGTGCTTGGGTGCTGGAGTTTACGGGAGAACAAGATGGCCGTGTCTCTCACCACACAGGAGTTCTTGGGGTCCTGGGGTAGTTGCTGAGCTGGCAGATGGTTGCAGGAAGATTAGAGACACAGTTCATAGCATCCAGGGACTTAGGGAGAACTGAGTGTCCACTAGGACAGGAGAGAGGAGTTTGGAAAGAGAGAGAGCAAGGGGCCAAGGAGGCTTCACTGGACACTGTGGGATAGGGGAGTGTCTGCTGAACCTGGGTTCTGTTCTAGTGAATGCCTCTGTCCCTTGTGCCTGAGCCGGAAGGGCAGGGCTCTGAGGCCACCCCAGCCTCTGCACGGGGGTGCTTGGGCCTGTCTGGAAAAGATAGAGATGCAGAAGAGGTAGGCTCAAGCAGGGGACTCCAGTTTGGGGCACATTCCATCAGGAAAGCCACAAATCAAGGGAACCTTTCAGGATCTGTGCCTTTTCACTTCCTCCCACCAGAGGAAACACACAATGACAGTCCCCGGGTGCCATTTGGTCTGAACTAGGACGGCTTCATTGGGATTCTGAGAGACTTCCCTGCCCCCGCCTGATGACATTCAGCACGTCACATCCATTCTCTACAAAGCTGTTTGCCGAAGAAAAGGACATAAATCACCCATCCCCTTGGAGACTAGACAGCCCAAACCATAACACCCTCCAAGCAGCAGCTGGAGGGGAAAGAAAGAGGCTGTAACCGTCTCAGCTAGAAGTGGGGAGGATGGGGAGGCAGGGGAGGGCTTGGGGTTCTGCTCTTGGACTGGGATGCAGGGAGAAAAAGAGAAGAGCCCTGGCAGGATCTGCCTCAGCTGCTGAAGTGTGTCTGAGTGGCACAGAAGCCTCCAGAACAGCCCCTCAGCCCCTTGGAAGCTGACCTCGACTTCCCCTTTGTGTCCTACTTCCATAGAAGTTCCAAGAGGAAATGGTGCTTCACAAGGCTTTACCCATAACATTTTTTTTTAATTTTAATTTTGTAACGAATCACTGTGAGGTACAGTTTCAGACTTATAAACTTTCATACTTATGTTTCAATCATATAATGATCGAGTACCCATACCAGTGCCCATTCCCCACCACCGATGTTCCCAGTATCCCCCCAATCCCTCCTATACCCCCTACCCCCCGCCTCTGTGGCAGGCACACTCCCTTTTACTCTCTCTCTCTCTCTCCTTTAAGGTATTGTGGTCTGCAATGCAAGTATTGAATTGGCATCAGGTACCCATAACAGTTTTGAGCTCCAGTGTCTAATGTGTTTCCTTGGGAAAGGTTGTTCCACTTGGGTTTTGCTGGGGGAATTTTTTTGGTTTTGTTTTTGTTTTTTATAGAAAGAAACCAACCACAGCTTCTTCATTTGTTCCGTGGTAATAATAGTAGCTACCTCCTAGGAATTCAGTTTTTATGATGCATGCAAAGTGCTTAACGCAGTGCCCAATGCTTAGTAAGTTCTTTCAAAATGTCAGCTATTTCTAAGGTCTTTCCCACTTGTAAGATATTAGATAACCCTTCTCCAGACGCCCCCAAGCACCGAGCAACCTCAGACAACCTCAGGTCTGGTTTGAGATTATGTTTGCTGCCCAGACAAGCCCTGGCTAGTGTGGAGAGGGAGCTCATGTGTGGGGTTTGTGGGCTGAGGTGGTGGTGGGGGGGGACTTTGCTACCGGCAGAGAAGAGACGGATGGCAGGAGACAGCAGCTTCTTCAGCCCCATTTTCACATGGCTAGGAAATTTGGCTCTGCTCTATTTCCTTCCTGAAATGTTCGCTTCAGCAGGTTTGAAGGCCAGCGAACGGAGGAATGTTCCATGCTGGCTGGCTGCGGGCTGGTGTCTCTGCCAGCAGTCTTTGCCCAGGGGACCTCCACAGCCAGGGAGGGTGTTGATGCAAAGGCACAGGCGGATGGAAGATTCAGAAGGTCTCCTGGCTGTGTCTCCTCTCAGAGTGTCCACTCGATTCCTAGACATATTAGAGTTTGATGTTTTTGTCAGGTTTCATTATTTCATTTCCATGGAAATGTGTTGGCCGGAGTGTAACAGATTTGTTCTTCTTAGGGGACATTTAGAAATGAAAACAGATTGCCTGTCAAACTCAACAGGCTGGAAGACTCTGGCCTTTCACGGCAAGGAAGAAATCATTCGAGAAC